TTTAAACAATTAAATAAAACCCCGACTGTTCATGTTTTACCTCCGCACTCCCTCCACTGCGGTGGGTACATAATAAAAGTTGATTATCTGTGTCAAGGAAAGTCTGGAGCTTCTTGATGTTACTATAGTTACGTAATCACATTTTTCAATTTTTGTGAGGCATCATATGTCAACTATTTTATGATGAATTTGATATTACGCAATATACACACTAAAAAATAATTCCTTATTGGGCATAGTGTTAAATGTGTGATAATTACCCCAGAACTGACTTACCTTGGTCTTGGGCGGAATTAATATATGACTGAATGAATGATGGTTATTTCCTTCAGTGTTGTCGGCGAGTACAAATACGACAAAACTGTTAACACACCACATTATACGTATTTTAAAAACAACAACAAAAAACAATGAAGTGCTAATCATACAAAATATTGGATTGAATGTTTTTTAATATATAATGCTGATATTATTTCACACGTACACATTGACACAATGCTTATACATATGACAATTTTATCGGGCACATGGGATATCACATTTTAGCGCTGAGTATGATGCAATCAGGGACATATCGGGAGTGAATGAGTTAAACATGCACTGTTATATATATTTATAACTTTATCTAAATATCTAAGATATTGAAGAAAAGAGGTTAACCGAAAATCATTTGTACGATACAGGAACAGACATGATCTTTATCATGTCCAGCCATCTGTAGTCTCTTTATTACATAGTCATATGTCATTCTTATATGATACCAGGGGCGGTGGGGTAGCCTAGTGGTTAAAACGTTCGCTCGTCACGCCGAAGACCCCGGTTTGATTCCCCACATGGGTACAATGTGTGAAGCCTATTTCTGGTGTCCCCCATCGTGATATTGCTGATATATATGTTACAATTGAAGATAAACTTTATAAAATGGCGAAAGAATAATGTGTCTCAGTGAACCGATCAGTTCACTATACAGTGCAACTTGTAACATGAATTGTTTAAATAAAACTCACACATGATCGGGGGGTTGGGCACATAGCCTGCAAGGATAGAGAGAGTATAATTATGATTAATCGTCAGAAGTATTATATATACCCCAGTAGGGTAGGACATGGTCTAGTTTCGCGAACACCCGGTGTCATCACTGCTTCTTGAGTGTGCTGTTTATTATTTATTAGGCCAATACAGTGATGTATGTATTTATTTTCAACATGTACACACGTGTCCCGTGACACAGTGACACACCCAGCTGGTTGGGGCCTCCCCGGGGACTCGCACGTTCGTGAGGTCATGTGACCATCTGTACATAGAATTGGCTTTTTCATAAACGTACCCAGACATAACATGGCTTTTTAATAAAACGTACCAAGAAATAACATGACCTTTGGTCCCGTTTACAAATGTGTGTATTCTTTGTATGTGAAGAAAATGCATATAAGACTAAACTAGAGCCAGACTATGATTACTCTATGTAAATAACAGTGTTGTCAAGTAGCACCGTTTAACATATACTTCCTGCTGTTTCATACTCAGGCCAAGTCAGGAGATTTCAATGATTTCAACAAATACATTTTATATACTGCTCACAACGAATACTGTAAATTGTATACACTGTCCGTGTGTTTGTAAACAATTCTTTATTAAAACACACAAAACAAATTATGTAAGCGTGAAAGTGAAATATAATTATAATCTAAAAATGTAAACAAAATGACTAATATGTTTATTTAATTGTTATACATGAAGTACTTTGTCTTATTTACTTTGTTCATTGAAAGAATTACGTAAATTGCTTTTCCGTTGAAATTTGAATTTATCTTAACACGTCTTCACTGTGGATACTGCTTCCGCTCGCACAAACACGCACTGTGTTAATGTTTATGTCAGTGGCGACAGATAGGCGTTAATGGCCATTATTACCGAGGTGCTAACTACAGCCTCATGTGCTGATGCTCGGAATATCGGGGTTATATTATAGGGGGTACTTGGCCCGTGCTGGAGCTACGCGCACATTTCAAGAAATCAAATATCTTAAATCCCCAAAAAAACCCAAAAAACCCAACAACCCCGTCTTACAATACTTTGAAGTACATGTACTCCCCACTCACCAAACAAAGAAAAAAGTAAACAACAAAACAAACAAACACAAACTAAACTAAAACTAAAACTAAAACTAAAACTAAACAAACTTTACAGCGAAACAAAACAAAGAGCAATTAAAAATACTAAAGTTTGGTCATTCTAGTGACGTAGATGAAACAATTCCTTCCAATCAATAACATTCACAGTAAGACCATAATAAAAGGAAAACGATATCTATATATACGTTGCATTGTGTTAGTCTTGAGAAAATCGGTGAAAAAGAATGTTTTAAGCAGTCAAAGAAGAAATTACATCTAGACTTGAGAAAATTGGTGAAACTTATATTTGTTTGCTCTTCTACCAAATTGGTGAGCTTTAAACACACCTATTTGAAAACACTACTTAATTCAATGCAAATAAATAGATATGCATAACATATCTGCTTATATAATGATACAAATAGATTATAAGTGAGATTATCTCTTTTTAGCGATCCATTCATATAATTATCATCACTAATTTGCCTTGAATGTCTAATGAATCGGTTTCGGCAGTGTTTCGGGGCTTTCTGGCGTTAACGTGTTATATGGAACACAGGTTTGCAGACATCAATGATTCTTATTATTTGCCATCAAATTATTTTGACACACGTACAATGGTGAGGTGAGGTGAAATTGGGTTTTACGTCGTGCTTGAGAATATTTCGCTCATATGACGACGTGCATGCGTGTGTATGTGTATGTGCGACTGCTTGTACTAGCCCAGACTTAAGCTGGTTTTATAGTGCTAGCCCACTGAGATACCATGCCGCAGTGAAGCATGAATACCCCACTCAGACACATTATACTGACTCCGAGCCGACCAGTCCTTAAAATATGGTACTTGTTGGTCCCTGTCTGGCGCTCGGCATTAATGGGTACAACAAGTACTGGTCGGCTCGGAGTCAGTATAATGTGTCTGAGTGGGGTATTCATGCTTCACTGCTGCATGGTATCTCAGTGGGCTAGCACTATAAAACCAGCTTCAGTCTGGGCTAGTACAAGCAGCCGCACATACACATACACACGCATGCACGTCGTCATATGAGCGAAATATTCTCAATCACGACGGTAAACCCAATTTCACCTCACCTCACGGAATTGGGTGATCAGGCCGCTCACTTTGTTACTCCAGTTCTAGATTGTTGCTCATGTCAATCACTGGATTGTCTGGTTAAGATGTGAATACTTTCAGAGTGCAATCATGTAGCTGGAATATTGCTGAGAAACAGAAAATAAACAAACAGGTATAAAGATATACTGTTTTCGCCTTTGTTCTCTCCTTGTTACTGATGCATATGGCGACGCGGCTAATTCCTATAACTTACTGATGATATAGTAGCTTATACATGTAGACTTAAATAAACTATCACCACTTTCACACATTCATCGTATTTCCGACATCGACATTGTACTGGAACATAAAACTCATCTCCAGTCACACATATGTTTGTATTTGCCATGAATGTTAAGTCTTTTGCGCAATGTAATAATTATTTCTCGATTAACAACATATGTGAAAAACTCAAGTCAATAAAGGTAATAATAATTAATTTGAAAAATCACTTACGACAGTTTACTTAATTACGTAATGTCCGTCTAGGATCAAAGGACCAGTGCGACACTGTACTTTGTTCCCTTCATGGGGTCATAAAAACAGGAGCTGGAGCCTCATCAGGGTTAAGTGATTGGTCCCATGTGCTTCAACTGCTGAAAAAAGGAAAATACACTTTTAATGATGTTTATTTATTATCAAATAAGTTCAAAACAGGTCATTTTGGGATTATCATATTACGAAGAATATTACAAAAATGACAAAAAATATTGTAAGTCCAATTCTGACATTAAATAAAATACATTCTAAATCAAAGAAAAGAATATTAATCAAGTATGTTACATCGTTTTATCTAAAAATATATGAAAAGTTAGGTCACTATGTCTCGGTGATGTAAATGTTGCTGGTGTTGTCAATTCACGGGCAACGGGGAGAGTTCTGTGGATATACAACTTCTTGCTTATCAATATGAACTTGCTTGATAACGGTCTTAGTAGCTACACCAAAACGTCGCTCATACTAATAAGAAAGAAGTGGTATATCGATGGAACTCTCCTCAATGTTCATCACACCAATTTCTAAATGTTCATCACACCAATTTCTAAATGCCTTTCAAAGAAGTTGCCAAGTCACCTTTTGATTATTACATCACGAAGGTTATTACAAGACTGACATTAACTAAATATTAAAAGTCCAATTCTAACTTTAACTGAAATACATTCGAAATTACAGAAAGGGATATTGGACATCGTTTGTATTACGAAATATACTAAAAGTCACTACATGTCGATAATATGTTGCTTCTGTTGATACATTGCGCCAATAATTTCGAAGATTATGACTAAAATGACCAATAATATTGAAAGTGCTGCGATGAACTAAAATGAATTCTAAATATAAAATGATAAATCCAGTATATAGATGCTTCTATTAAAAAAATATATTCAAAGACAAGCAAAAGTTAGGTCACTACATGTCGGTGATATAAATGTTGCTTCTGTTGATACATTGCCCCAATAACTGCGATAAACTGACTCCCTCTGTAACTCAACACCATCATTGGCACCATCAGGACATGCTGCCGTAGTTAGCACCTCACTGTTAATAGACACCGTCCCCGACTCCCTCAGATGGGCACTGATTGGTCAGTTGGGTGACCCTAGCCCACTATAATAACCTGAAATGAAAAACATTTTCATTCTGAAAATTTTACAAGACTTGATCACCTGTATTATAAAATCATGAACTCGACTTCATTTAACACAAAAAGCGATACTGACAATCTCGATGTTGATGAAAGTAACTCAGTATATGGAACAGGTTTGGACAAAATGGAAGAAAAGGCAAAACTTCAGATTGAAAATCTGGGCTGCACATCGCAAGAGACATTAGATGAAGAGAACGACACGGGCTATTTATCTGACTCTTCTGCATTGGAAGATCTGCCCCGGAGAAGAGGTCGGAAACGGAAGGACATGTGTCCGGACGATGCCGAGAAGAAACGAGTGACAGCGAACTTCCAAGAACGACAGCGCATGCTCAATCTCAACAGTGCTCTGGACAGACTCAGAGCATGTCTTCCGGATCAGTTCAAGGTTGGAAACCGTAGAACCTCCAAAATCAGAACCCTCAGACTGGCTGCAAGTTACATCAGAAGTTTAGGGGACCTTTTGAAACAGGATTCGATCATCCGCGAGTCAATGCCACCACAGCCGGGATTCGACCCCAGACTCCCGAGTCTGAATGACGTCACCAGACAGGGGGATGGTGGGGAGATCTACACACCTGAGAAGGATATTTCCTTCCCCCAGCAGCAGGATCCGCTGACCCACACAACGCCGGACTACAGGTACCCGTTCTATGGACATCATCAGTTTGGCTCCAGTCCTCACTTCAACTACAGCAGCCACACGACGTCCTCGCCACTACAGCAACATCCGGCGTTCTCACAACTTCCTCTACAGTATCTTCCCATGTATCCCCCCACAGTTCTACCCCCCGGGAGTCCACCCTCTCGCAACCACAGGCATGGTGGAACCGGTTATCCAGCCCCTTCGGTAAAGAGGTGAGTGTATATTGACAACTGGTTAGTTATTACCGGTATAAAGACTAACGGGATCGGGTGGTCAGGCTCGCTGACTTGGATGACACATGTCATCGGTTCCCTATTGCGTAGATCGATGCCAAGCTGTTGATCCCTGGATTGTCTGGTCCAGACTCGATTATTTACAGACCATCGTTCAATAGCTGAAATATTGCTGAGTGCGGCGTTGAATAACAAACAAACAAACAAACAAAACCAGCGTTAAGGATATATTTAAGGTGTATCTAAAACTTCTAAAGGAGCGTTCATAATTTTGTATGATAGTACAAAATCAATGACACCCCCACCCTAGGACATGCGTACAAAATTGATGACCCCCACCTTCCCAGAAAAAAATGGGCGACCCCCTTTCCTTCTTCCCTCGCTCCACATAGCTACACTAAACGCCAAAAAGAAACGTTACCCTCCTTCCTCAATGGCGGAGGTACCTATCTTCAGCTGGTGTTGTGATGCGTGGCTGTCCACTTCTTGGTCTATCTACGGTGACCCCAGTTTGTCTGAAGCCCTGAATAAGTCTTATAACCCTGATACGGTGGAATTCGACAGCGTTGGCAACAGCATTGTATGTCGCTCCCATCTGCAACATCCCAATGGCTCTTTCTCTCTCTTCAACTGTTAATAGTGGCATATTTCTCGTACTTGCGCATCATTTGATGTATTCTAGGCTCTCTTTATACCCTGTAGAACCAGTCTACATGTGAAATGGACGCAAATCTGCTTGAATATTGCTGGTGTTGGCGATTGGTATCTCTATGTTTAAACAAAAAATGGAAAAATGTTACTTTGCCAGCAAAAATGAGAACAAAGATAATTTTAGATATTCCAAAACATGTTTTCACAATATCAAAGACACGTTTTACTTGTTTTCACTAATGCAAATCACAGAAAATGTTTTAAAAGTCTGAAATCACAGGAATGATTATTTTACAATTTTACACACTCCACAACAGTTGTTTCTTGTTTTAATAGTTGAAAAATGGTGAATTTAAATGGTTTATCTTTGTCTCAAAGCAGAATTTCATTTAAACCTTTCTTTTGGACATCTAAATCACTGTTATTGGTTTATTTCGGCATGGAAGAAAATAGGACAATTTAACTCTTCTGAAAAAGATGCATTTCACCTAAATATGAATGCATTTTAGATTTATTTTCGTGATTTACATAAAGCTGTGTTTTTCAGCTTTCTTTTAAACTAATACCTTCTAAGATATCTTTGATAGTTTTTAGGTAATTCATGAATGTAGAAGGGTAACATTTCTTTTGGCGTCTAGTGTATAAATAATTAACGGTCTCTTGTGTCTAATTTCACTGCAACTGAGGAAGATTCAGCATCAACATGTTTTGGTTATATGTCGCATATATTTCCATTTCCATACAGGCACACTAACAGTAATTTGTCGTTTAATGTTTCCCAAGCCAATTATTCCTAGTTCTTACTATAATGAGTAAAGGCTGTCAGCGGGTTTTCTGACAGATAACTGTAAACGCTTTATGAATGGCAATTTTAGTAACGAAGGACACACCTTATACAAACATGTAGGTTACAGTACGACTTGTTTCATAATGAACCAATCATAAAGCGTATTCTGTTCTCATTTTACAGGTGCCACTGAAGACAATACAAGTTTCCTACCAAGGTGCAACCCCATCTTCAAGGCATATTATCTCTAGTGGTTAACGGGCGGACTAACCCGTTCAGTTCCCCGATGGGTGCAATCGTTGGTATGGCCTACCGTAATATGGACCCGTGAAGATCATCAGAACTGGTCTTCAGCAACCCATGCTTGTCGTAAGAGGCGACTAACGGTATCGGTTGGTCAGACTCGCTGACTTGTCATATGGCTGGAATATTGCTGACAATGCAAAACCACTCTATGGGAAGACACTACCAATTTTGTAAACATGTACGGTGTACCATTTTCCCCGGTGAATCATATATCATATGTATATATCTGGTTGTTTACACAATACAACAAAATAAAAATATAGACAAAAACTGTTTTGTAATTTTTCTTCACAAAATGGGCCCAGTGGCGTTATTGACATGGTCATTGTTTAAGGTTTATAGTGAAACATGAAAGCTTAGGAACCGTTCATAATTTATGACTAGGTGGTTTGGTGGGTGTGGGGTGATGATTTTGTGGGAGGGTGGGGTGGGGTGTCACCCATTTTGTTCTGGGAGGTAGGGGGAATCATCTATTATGCACATATGTACTAAGGGAGGTGTCATTGATTTTGTACATGGCATGCATGGGGTGTGGGTGGGTGTCACTTACTTTGTACATAAATTTCAGGTGTGTGTGTGTGTGTGTGTGTACGTGCTTCTCCTTAAAAAAGTCATAATCAACCCCCCCACCACCCCCCAAGCCATTAATATGAACGGTCCTTTTAAAAATGATTAAGCCATATTTTCGTTGTGTTTAAGTTGCTCAACGCGTGGGAAGTGGTTCATTTACATTGTGGTACTGAACTTAACTCATAGTGTTAAGTGTTTGTCTGTTGTTTAACGCCGCACTCGGCTATATTCCAAACAAATGGCGACCAGACAATCCAGTGATCAAAGGACAATCCAGTGATCAAAGCATGAGCATTGATCTACGCAATTGGGATACGATAACATGTGTCAACCATGTCACCGAGCCTGACCACCCGATCCCGTTAGTTACGTCTTCACGGGACGAGTGTTAAGTGGGAAATATTACCAGATCTCAGAATGCAATCTTGTAATGCTTAACCTTTACCTTGATATTTATCACCAAGCTTACAACCTGTGATAGAACTATCAAAGTAGCGTTATAAATCACCTCTCTTATTGAGCAGATACTGAGTTTATTGATAGTTGCATATTATACTGCTGTGAATAGAGATAATTTGTTATCTCACGCAGTTGAACTGAACGTTACAATGTTTTATAACATATGTTTTAGAAAGGTTTTGTGAACAATTGGTACGAAAACCGACAGGGACGGAACTCTAACAATGAGTGAGTGAGTGAGTGAGTATGGTTTTACGCCGCTTTTAGCAATATTGCAGCAACATCACGGCGGGGTATACCAGAAATGGGCTTCACACATTGTGCCCATGTGGGGAATCGAACCCGGGTCTGAACAACCCCAATATGTAAAATCAAGACAATATGTTGTACAATCCTTACCTCCACTACGTGAACGCGTTTTTAATATTAGTGTGTTATGGAGAGGAATTCTCTGAAATGATATTTATATCTGAAAGTCAACAGTGTTCCAGCTCTTTTACGACGCCATGTAATTAGTGAGCCAGGAAGGGATTGTTGTTTGTTTGTTGTTAAACGCAACATTCAGCAATATTCCAGTCATATGGCGGCGGTCCGTAAAAAAATCGAGTTTAGACCAGACAATCCAGTGATCAACAGCATGAGCATCAATCTACGCAATTGGGATACGATGACATGTCAGCAACGGACGCATTAGTGACTTAAGACATAAAATATATTTACCATTTGTGATGAAACGGAAAGACAAACATTTGCTGTGTCAGATGAAAACAGCTGTAATACCCTCTCTTTAGACCGTTTATCAATAGAGTCATTAGTGACAAATATGGTAATGGTTTCAAAACATCCTGTGTTGACAATCCTGGAAATGGATCAACAGTTCTGGTACAATGTCAGTTTAAGACAACGCAATCCATGAAAAACATTTTCTTTCTTTAACTGTCGGTTCTTGGCGCGTTGTTCTCTGTTCTGCTCCGTTTCTGAGGAAACATCAGTGGATAAAGAATATGTACCCGCTGCTTGTCGGTCAGAAGACTCCACATTTCTTGAGGCACAAGAAGCAATTGTCTCCTGGCGGTTGTGCCTATTTTGCCAACATGTGAAACTTGTTTTAAAATACCACTGATGTAGCTGCGTGATAACTCGTAGTGGCAAATTCGAACACAATTGATACTACGAGTATACTCGTGGTGGCAATCAACGTGTTAAAGTAAGCTTCTTTCTTTTAGTGCATTGTTCATCAATGGTGAGGGAATTCCGCGCCTTTTCACCAAATTAAGTCTTTGTAATTTTGTCTTCTTTCATTACATACCTGAGGACTTCCTCTATTAATCATCTCATTCTGATATTCACAACGCTTTTCAATTTTCCCCTACTCACAATCTGACCAAGTCACCGGCGATCCATAGTACTGAACTTCCTTGGCCTCACTGCTCCTGTCTTATTCTCAATCCCAACTACTGACTGAATATTCGTCAAAGTTCTGTATACTATAGACAGTCTTTTGTATTAGTCACACCCCTTACAAAATCATCCAGAACCAGCTCTTTTTCTTCTTCTGCTGTCAAATCTGCTAGGTCAACAAAGGAAGCCGTATGCTACACCAGGCGAGATAACTTTTGATGTAGTGAGGTTCATTCTTAATCCTGTACAAGAGGTGCCTCCCAACACCTAAAGTACTGTCGGAAATGCTAGAAAAATGGTTTTTGACTTTTATTCAAAATTCAGAGATATTATAATTATTTAAATAACAAAGAAGAAACATCTACCTAATGTAGACCGAGGGAACAAATTTTGAGACATGCCCTAAAATGTGTTTTTACATATGAAAATATCAAAAACAAGGGTTAGTGGAACGTTATTTGATATAAACATTAACTGCCTGTGTTATGTCATCAGCATGCACGGTATCGACAGGTGAAATGGACACCTGAGCACACGCTCAGTCAGTGTATTTAAATAATCAATTAATTAGAGAAGATTTATGATGTCCCGATGTGTATAAAACCAACTGTGTGAACGACACTTAAACTCCATGCAAGTACAAATTTTATTCAACTATAACAGATATTGGAATGAAGACCAGTAGAACACTTAATCCGAATCTGACGAGTCTGAATCCGTGTCCTAATGCACTGGGAATCACAACAGGTGTTACAACACTGATGTCCACTCCGTCACGTTGACGGTATTAGCGTTGAAAGTCAAAGACG